TTCATTTTTATTCTAAGTATTTAAAGACCCCCAAAACCCCAAAACCCCTGAAATGAATATTAATGTTGAACATCTATTCAATTTAGAGGTTAAATAAATAAATAAATATTTGTCAAATCAGAAAGTATTTTCCTCTGGGAAAGTACATCCAGATCTTTGAATGACTTAGCTTGATAGCCAAATACCTGCCTTAACTGCAGTCTCCAAATCTTTACCTTGAACAATCTATGAAAGGAATCCTCCCACGAATGAGTCTCCTGCTCCGTTAGTGTCGATGACTTGCTCTGCTTTAAGAACTGTCACTTCGTACTCCTTGACTTCTACTTCCCCATCCTTAGAAACTGCAACAATGACTGGTTCTTTACCTTGAGTAATAATTGAGACTCTTGGTCTGGCGGTGTTAACTTTCTTGCTCTTTGAGATGGCAACAGCAACATCCTTGAAGGTAGCATATTCAACCTTGTTGACTTCAGCGTAGACCTTGGCCTCATCTTCGTTACAGAAAGTGTAGTCAGCATACTCGAGGACAGTGTTTAGTTACTCAGTATTGAATTGAATCAGGAAAGTAGCTGAGAGGTTGAAACCTAGTGGCTTGTTGTTGTCAGCAGCAAACTTAACGTATTCAAGTAATGCCTCAAAGTTACTTGTAATGAAGAAACCTGAAGTGTAGAGGAAGGCAGCTTTCTCAAGAACCTGCATGTTTGATTGCAAGTGGGTAGTTGGATACTTAAGACAAGCAGCAAGGTTAGCGCAAAGAGTTCTTTCCTTATTGTGGACTAAAACTGCGCAGCTACCAGTAGGAGTGTCTTAATCCTTGTGGAGGTAGGCGTGGACACCAGTATCTTCCAATTCCTTTTCTAAGACCTTTCCAACCTCATCATTACCGATGGAGCCGAAGAAAGCGCACTTGTTTGGATGAGTATTCTTGAGCATGTAGTTAGCTGATCTGACAGAGTTGAGGGATGATCCGCCTGGAATCTTCTAAACTCCTTCAATTCTCCAAATCTCTTCGTAAATTGGCATTTGCTTCTCGTTGGCAAGACAAGCGTGTCCGTGTTAAAGCTCGTACTTGGTCAGAATCTCATCATTGCTAAGTTCAACTGAGATATCTAAGAGTGGGTTCTCGATAGCGACTATGAGCAAATCTTATGTTTCCATTTAATTATTGAGGTTATATTAAGTATGTTTATTGTGTCTATATATATCTAATCACACATTCCTAAGCAATGACTACGGAAGGGGTTTTGGGGTTTTGGGGTTTTGGGGTTTTGGGGTTTTGGGG